GGTATGTGGCAAAATCTTGACCATTGGATGAAGAGTTTTGGTTAGTTTTTAGATTATAATTTTTTATGTTATTTTTGCCAATTTCCCTTTTTAAATACATTCACGGCCCAAAACAAAAACAAAATTTTTTTCGTTTTTGTGTTGTCTATCTCAAATTTTCTAAAGCCTAAATATTTGGTGTTTTAGGGGCCGTGAGAATTGTATTTTTTTCGTTCTATTATTTTAATTAGGACTTTAATCTCTATCCTATGCTCGTTCTTTTACAATTTTAAATAGAATTTATCGTTATTTTATTTACTTAGTTGCAAATTATATAAAGCTTTTCATATAAAAAATTACACATAAGACAAAAGAACTATTATTATGATCCATATAGATTAATATATTTACGTAAATTTCAGCAATATTTTAAATTTTCATATATAAAATTAGTATATTTAATTTTAAAAACGAATTACAACATTAAATTTGCCATAATCAGTCATGTTTTGATTTTAAATATACACAGTTTAAAATCTAGAGCTACAACCATCACATTTATAACCAAAATCTTACAGTTTTAAAATCTACAGCTACAACCACAACGTTTACAGCTAAAAATCTACGGCTCACTCTAAAATCTACAGTTATAGATGAACTAATCGTCCCCATAATCAAAATTCTCAAGTTAATTACATAGAATCTCATCTTTTGAAGAATAATCTCATAACATAAGCTAGTTTAAGAGTAATCTGTTCATTTTGTGTCTTATGTAGAACTGGATTATGAATTGTGCAAGTGTTAATGTTGCAGTCTTGTCTTACCTAGTCTTTTTAGATTGCATCAGTTTGGTATATTTACTTGTAGACCTTTTAAGGATGCGTATGCGGTTGATATATATGGTACGTGTTTAAAATGCTATGAATATAATGTTTGGTAAACAGACTAGACATGGTGATGATGATGCTTGAGAATATTCAAGGAAAGTTGGCAAATACAAAGGAAGCAAAGCTCAGGAATCAGTCAAAATGGAATCGAGTGCGTAAAAGGGGTCATAAGGGGGAGCCAGAACATTCTTTGAGAAAGCATACGTCTGATCAGATACAACAGGAGCCACATCATTCAAACAAGTTAAAGGAACAGAAAAGTTCTATTATTTTTTATACTAAGCTGAATGGTCAAGCTGAGAAGAAGCCTTGAAACCACAAAATGATAGCAAAAAAGCTGAGGACACAGAGAAATAGTTTTTTTGGAGACATAGGGGGGATTCTGAAGAAGAAGAGGAACATACTTGTTCTTTGGAAGTAAAAGAATTTGAGGATGTCAAATAAGGGATTTCCGCCCTTAGAATATATGCCTGAAAAGTCGAGCTTCCCGCTCGCAGAACCTCAGAATGTTGGTCCTGGAACCACATTTGACCAAACTTGGTTCTGATATTTCTCTTTTCAGAAAGAGAATCCGAGATTTCTCTTTGTTTTTGGTCTTATTTTTTCCTAATGTGTGCTTCAGGCCTGGAGTGAACTAGTGCAATGTTCCCGAAGATGAAACAAGGAAAGCTCTGTATCAGAGATCTCTGTTCCTGATAGCCAAGCTCCAATGCAGAGTAATCCCAGTGTGCCTAAGCCTAAGTTTCTCTCAAGGCAATGGGAAGTCAGAAAAGGAACGTACAAGTCATTCGAAAAGAGAGTATGGACATGTTCACAACTTAATCGCAGCAACCTCAACTTCTTGTAAGATTTCCGATTCTCATAAACGCATAGTTTCAGTGTACATAAGGGGTTTATAAGTTCTATCAAGATCCTCTAATGAAATCATCTTTT